TGCAGATGCAACTGTGCAATGTGAAGGTGTGATTTAAAATGGGAATCAGTAGAATAAGCAGTAAATACAATTATTACATTAATATAAATCAAAAATTGAGTTGTGGTGAGTTGTAAGTTTGTAATTTACTTCAGGCGAGGAAATATATTTGTCCTCAAAAACTGCCTTGAGAGCTAGGCTTGTTAGTCTAAAATAGCTAAATATTTTTTTAATAAAAATACTATTTATTTCAATTATAGTGGCATACTAAAAATAAAAAAAAGAACAGAGTTCAGTAAGTAAAATTTTTGCTAAATAGGAAAAACTGCAGAATAGTGCATGATAACAACATTTTGACAAATAAATATTTTCTTTATTGATAATTTCTATTTTTACTTTCCATTTTTTTATTGAATGATTATTTCTTCTTTTTCTAATACATTTTTTTAAAAAAAGCATTATTTAAAAACAAAATTTCATCAATTTTATTTTCAACTTTTGAACCTTTCATATTTTTGTATTCTGTGTTTGATAACTATATAATGTATGAAATACTGCAAATTTATTCGATGATTAAAAAATGAATTGTATCATCGAAACGACTAAAACTTTACAAATTGATAATACTTTAAATTTTTTTGATATTTTTAACTAATTAAAAGATTTAGCCCCTGAGAGACTGTTGATTGATACATTATTTATTACAATACTATATATTAAATAATTAAAAATATGTAAAAATTAAAACATATAAAGTATTAAAAATATATGAAGTAATCATGTATCACATATCATTTTTATGTAGCACGCATGTCCCTTTTTCAAAAGTCTCAATTGAAAAATAAGCATAATTTCTTTAAATAATACATTGAGGTAAAAGTAAAGTTACTTAAATCCAATATGCACAGTGTCTTAAAAATATAGTTTTATTTTGAAAAGAACATTTGTCTGTTAAAGTTTTTGACGAGAATGACATGAAATTTATAAATGCATAATATTATGTCATGCAATCCTACGTGATTAAACAATCATGAATGAGATAAATTTTTGGGGGCATATTTTAACATTTTAAATTGTAGTGGAATTTTTTTTAAAAAAATGTAAGGAAAAAGTCATAATACGTTTTGCTAAACGAAAAAAAATTTTTTTTACTATGAATTTGAATTGATCTGGATTTCTGAGATGAAAGATGCAACACTAACAATAATACTGGAGAAACTATCTTTAATATTGGTTTCAGTAGAGATTATCATGATTAAAATAAATATATTTATAAAACTCTAAATTGCAAAAAAAAAAAAAAAAAAAAAAAAAAAAAAAAAAACAAAAAAAAAAAGAAGAAGAAGAAGAGGAAGAAAAAATTTGAGAAATTCAAGAATATTAAAGCACTTTTAAATTTAGCCATTTTCTCATCTTGTTCCGGTTCAAAACGTTTTAAAAATCGAAATTGTCGTCTTTAAAAAGGAAAATAAAATTTTATTCAGTTAATTGACAGAACTATAGTATTCATATTTTGAAGAAATGATAAATTATAATAATTGTGATGGGAATAATTTTTATGCCCATTTTATTTCATGTATTTATCTTCTTATTATTTTTAAGCAACGAAACAGACAAGATGAGATATTTTTGGTTTTCTTGGATCGCATGATTTATTTTGGTAACCGTAAAAACTTCATATAAATGTACACGAAAAAATAAAAAAGACAACACATAGAACTCTTATTTTCCTTCCTCTATCGGCAGTATTTATAGTTTCAGTATTAAAATTTCAAAAATTAATACTTTTAATTCAGAAATATTTGTTGAAAATATCAAATTATGAAAATGTTGATTAGCACAAAATAATTACTTTAAAAATCCCATATTATTTTGATAAAAACAAAATAAATAAAATTACATGAAGTAATCATTAAACACTCATACAATAAATTGAGTTTAACAATTTGTCCCATTCTTAAAAAAAATATTTTTATTAGTTTTTTTTACCGTAATAAAATTATATGAATTTTTTTAGGAAACTTTTGCATTTAAAGTAATTCTTCATTGTTTTAATTAATTAAAATGCAAGTTAGTGATAATTATTTATATTTGAACATAAATAATCAATGTTTATATAATTTTTTTTAATTAAAATTTTTTATTAATTTTATAAATGTCCTTATAAACATAAACGTGACATTAAATTTCTGAATGAAAACAAAGTTATAGAAAGGTCATTAAAATTCTAAGTTTCGATTTATAATTTTAAAAATTAAAAAGTTACATTGATTTTACAAATATAAATAAAAAGTAGCTCCGTGCGTTCAAAATAAATTCATGCGCAATGAACAGTAAAACCATGAAATGATGTACTGTATAAATAAATTTAATATACAAACTATAAAACAATTCTTGCAAACATATAATAATAAATGTATTAGTAAGTGATTTAATACAAACATTTGCTTACCTCCCCAGAATTTATTTAATGACTTCTTATTATCCAACGATAAACATTATTACAAAAACTTTAAATAAACTTTATTTAAAAAAATAACAACTAATAATTTAAGTTAAAACAATTAATGAAACAAAATATAAAAGTAAACAGAATTACTACTTATATTTATCAAAATTTCGAACTGACTGGAAATGTCTAGTTTAAATAATGATGGAATAACACTGTGAGCGCTTATACGTAAGAGAAGATTTAGAATGATTCTATTTCAGAGAAATTTTCTTAACAAAACCACCAAAAAAACCCCCCAAAAAATGGAAAATGTCTACAAGAATCTCCCCCTACTGAAATCCCCCCTAGAAATTCTAGATAATTGCCTGTTTGAGACAATTTATGAATAGGTAGGGGTCTGTTGATATTTGACATTTTAAAAAAGAGGACAAAAGAGCCCAGGGCCATAAATACGATAAAGATAAGTTAAAAATGCTAACCATTTTCCCGTATCCTAAACTAAGGCGGCTATTTTTGGGTATCAAATGACTATGTGTGTTATGTTGAGGGAGAATCGTCTTTATCAGTTAACAGTGAGAAGGAAAGGTGGGAAGAGTGTTTTATTGCTTATTGAAGGAAAGGGTGGCTGTGACATTTCTTGTAGTTCTCTAAACACCTGTTTTATTTTTTCAGGCAGTGCATTTTTCTGTGTGTATTTTATTTTTTACTAATTTTCTTTTAATTATATAATAAGTTGCGCTTTGTAAAAATAAGAGAGAGAGAAATTAAAAGTTATAGAAACAAAACGGAAATATTTTCTCAAAATAATGAACCCTGGCTTCCCAATTATTGGGGGGGTCCGGACCCCTATGGTTCCGACGCCAGTGTATATAGATGAAAAAATCATAAGTGATGCGAAGTGTGTGGTCATATTTGCGCAAATTTAACCTCTCCTCCACAAAGAAATTTCGAAAAATGATACTTAAACACTGCTCCTTTTTCTTCCTTTAGTGAATGAAAAAATTATTTGAGGTAAAATTTTGAAATAAATAGTTGCCAACACAACCTTTAAATAATTTGATGACTTCTTTTTCCAGTTGCAATGAGAATATAATTAAAAATATAGTATAAGCAAATATTTTTAAAAAATGTGCATCACATAAAAACAAAAACTGCAATCATGCATAACACAGTTTTTTCACATCAAAAATCACATTTTTTACATCATCAAATCATTGCATCAAAATTTTTTAAATCAAATTTTCTTACATAAAAAAAAATCAAATTACTGAAGTATTAACTTTGCTACAACTGCGAAAAATATTCTGTGAACATAAATCGTAGCAGTATGTTATAGAATCATTGTAATGGATAAATAAATAGAGATTTTATCGCATAGAAATTCACCACCTATTTTCATCATAGGACCAAAATTTTTTTATACGTAATTGCTTTTTGTTCTTTTATTATGTAAAAATTCATACTTAGAAATACTTGTTATCTACTCTTAAAATGGAAGCTCAAATAATAAATTTATAAGCAATGCTTCCAAAAAAAAAAATTATGTACTGCGAACATTTAGTTAGGCTTTGTGGTGCTCCCCTATCCTCTGGTGCCCTAAGCACATGCTTAGTGTGCTTAATGGTTAATCCGGCCTTGTATGTTTCAGAAAAATTTTGAATTAAACTTAAAAACCTTACCTTTCATGCTTAGCTATAAGTTTTATAATAAGTATCATTACGTTAATTATAAGTATTTTTGGCTTTAAAAAACATCACTTTAGCATTATTCTTTAAATAATATTTTAAGAAGAACAAATTAAGTAAAGATATTAACTATATTTATATCAAGAACAAAAGAAAGTATTATGTTTACAATTAAGTTTTTAAGAAGAATTTTGAAATTTATTTTAAAATTTAGACTAATTCTGCCACTACACAATAAAAAATTAAATTTTTCTTCAAAGATACAATAAATAATTAAATTAACGATAAAATATAGTGTTTTTCGCAGTCAATAGTTAATTTTAGTTAGTGATTTATAGTATTGAATCGATAGTGGTATAGCACACAAAGTGATTAGATTTAATAAATAAACAGAGTTTTAAACAAATTACTAATATATTACAAATAAAAATTATCTAAACACTCAGAATTATTATATTTCCTATAAAAAAAAATCGTACTTCAACTACGGGCAAATTAGTATAGAACTTTCCCAGCTATAAGCTGTTTTTACATAGAATAACATAGACGAAACCAGTCTATTTTAACAGAAAGCTACTCTCTTTAAATTTGGAAATATTGGTTAATAACACTCGGTAGTTTAAAGCATGTTTTGTAACAAAATATTCAGCTCATTAATGATAAGTTGTTTGGAGAATGCATAATGTCTTGAAATAAACATCAAGTTTTTATTTCAGATTAAATGATATCAAGAAAATATTCAACTACAGTTAAAATTTAAAATGAATTATAACAAATGAAAAAGAAAAACTAAATGAACTGTTAATTACAAAATTCATATGTTTATTATTTTCACAATAACATGAAGTTTTTTTGCTTGCAGACTTGAAAAATATTTATTTACACCATAATTCAATTTCTAGTAAAATAAAATAACAATAAAAATACATTGCAATGGTCATATTTTTTGTACTCAATTGAAAACTAAAAATAACAGTTCTATAAAATCAATTCTCAGAATCATTTGAGTCATCAGTAAAGCTGCAATTTTCAAGCTCCTCAAAATCATCAAACATTTGACTCTCTTTAGTTGTGTTAGCTTTTGGTAGAGCAGCTGATTGGATTCGTTGAAGTAACACCTAACAAAGAACAATATACAGACTCTATTTAATCAAATGTTTAAAAAATGAAACAAAAACTTTTAAATTATTTCATGACTAATGATAATTATAAAATAAGATTAATTAATTTGAGAATTCAGTTAATAACAAGTTTAATAACAGTGCATTAAAAAAAAGTTTCTCAAAATTATTTTCCCTTTTAAAATTAAAATACGTATATTTAACAATGATGGAACCAATTTTTTTTTATTAAAAAATAAAATCACAATCAGTGTTTTTAAAACAAATTTTGGAAGTCAAGTGTTTTACAATTGAAAATAAGACGTCTATGTAGACTCTTTTTGTAAATCTACTCATAATTTTTAGGATTGTAAAATAACATAAAATCTTTAAACCAGAGTTCTGTTTAAATTTAAATAAGTAATCTGTTCACTTAACATGATTTAAAAATATAAATATTTCTCCTCTCCTACTACATTTAGATGCTGCCAATAACTCTACCTTCATAATTTAAAAAACAAAAAACATCGTGTAGAATTTGATTTTAGAATGAAATATTTTGTTAAAAGGTTCATTTTTATGAATAAATAATTAGTAAAGGGTCTGTTAATAATGCTTAAATACTCTTTCAAGTTTGAATATGTCTAATTTATGAATTTTAATTCTTTTAGAGTTTTCTATGTACTGCATGGCACAGATAAAAGAAGAGTCATATAATTACGTATTTTAAACAAATAGTGGAATTATGGTTGATGTAGCTTGCAAATTTTAGGTAGGAAGTTAACCAGAGTAAAAGAAGAATGAAATAAGAGGTGATAATGTGAAGGAATATATAGATTTCAGGATTGAGTAAGAAAGTTTAAAAAAAAAAAAAAAGAAAGGATAAATGAATTACAGAATAACATAAATTATACCCTTTCTATCAGTTATTTTAGGATAAAAAAAAGAAAAGAAAATGAACCGAGCAGATTTCAGGAACTAAAGTCAATTTCTAGAATTAAAAAAAGCAAAGTAAAAAAAAAAAATAAAATAAATAAAACAAGATTTTTATTAAATTTGAATTTTTTTTTAATAAACTTTAAGAGCACATTTAATCTGAAAAATGTAAGCTAATATTTTTAAGCACGCTTTAAAAAATAAAAGAATTAAAATTATCAATCTATAAAATCTGTCATTTCTTAAAATCAATGTTTTTATAACCAATTTCAAGAGTCCTGCCAATTTAATTACGGTATAAATAATTTGTCTGGAAAAAAAAAAGTGTTTAATCCAAATTGCCAAAAAAGTTAACAAATCTTTTCAAACAATGAAATATTGTTCAAAAACATTTAAACCAAGAAGATTAACAATTAAAGTTTGAATTTTTCTTCTTCAATCTTTCAAGATCAATTGAAGTATAAATAGTTCATCCGTTAAAAAATGTCTTCCTTCCAAATTGCAAAAAAAAGTTACACAAATTTTCTCAATTAAATATTTTTCAAAAACATTTCAACCATAAAGATTAAGATTTAAAAAGAGTACAGTTTTTAGTTCCTTCAATTCAATTACAGTATAAATAGCGTGAAAAAATGAGAATTTTTCCAAATCGCTAAATAAACCATTCTTGCCCCAAAATTTAAAAATGTAACCAGAAAAAAGGGACATTTCGTTAAAAAAATGTAAAAATTTGATTCTTCATATTTTTAAAAAATTTTTTTTACATTATTGTCAGAATTAAAATCTGCAGAAAACTTATAATAAGGAACATTTTCTTTAAAACATTAGCTATGTAAAATCTAAAGCATTATTGGTTATACAAATACATATATTAATACATACAGCAAATATATCTAATATACTTACAACTGGATATGGCACTCCTGACTGGAGATTCTGAATGGAGGAAATACTCTGAACTGGGTCCGTTCTTGTGAAAGAGGCTGAGGAAGGTGATTGGACATTGTGCATGGGGGATGTAATCTGCACTGGAACGCTTCCTGATGATGAGATTCTGAATGAGGTTGGGGATTGTGACTGATTGCGAATGGGGGATGAAACTTGCATTGGAATACTTCTCGTAGATGTGATCTGTACTGGTAGACAGTTTTGAGTTTGGGAAACAGCATGCGTTACAGAAGAACTAAAGATATGAGAGTTTCTTTGGGAGCTATTTGGTCGTTGAAGATTAGACTCTGAAGAATCAACAGCTTTGGTTCTAAAAAAGAAACCATATGCATTTATATTTCATTTACATACACATATTGCATTTTAATAATAATACATATACTTGATGATATAAAACTTCTTTGGTTTCAAAAATATGAAATTCAAAAAAGTCAACATAGACCTCAAAAACCTGCCCATTTTCACGATTTGTAAGACATGATTGAAGAAAACAAAAACAATTTGAAATACAGAACATTTTCTGTTTTACTCATTAATGTCGGACGAGTCTTGGGAATAGGCGTCAATTTTTGAGCTCTCAAAGTATGCCAACTTTGATTATCATCTTCATATTTTTAAAGCAAATGAAGTTTTATATCATCAAATTTATTTTTCTGCTTCTTTTTTCAGGTATGAGTCCTTATGTGATGAAATGGGTATGATGAAATATAATCACGAAGTTTGGTTAAATTTGAAATGTCTAAGTTATTAATTGAAAAAAAAAAAGATAATTCCTAAATGCAAACTCTAGCTACATTTATCAATTAAAAAGGAAATCTACTGCCTTACTAAAATACAGTCAAACCCCTCTATAGTGAACACGGTTTATAGTAAACTCCCGGATATAGTAAACGAAATGTTCGGTCCCGTGCCTTGCTATACACGTATAATGTTATTTTTTGTGGATATAGTGAACCAAAAAAGTGAGGAAATTGGATATAATGAACTTTTTTCTGTCTTCAACTGATTTTTTTCCTCATTTTTTTTGTAATAATTTTGAAATTTCTACCTCAAAATAAATACATATACCAATGTTTAAAACCATCTATAGAGGGTAATGTAGCGATAAGCATTTTTTCTTGTTTGCTTCTTTTATATCACTTTCTAAACTCTAAACAGACCAAGCAGATGTTTCCAACTCAGGCAGATGATGCACCTGTAAGGTGTCAGTGGGATCAATATGCATTTTCTATCAGAGGGAATGAGTAATTATTCATTATTGGTGGTCAAAGGGTTGGACACTAATATGTGTTGATAAGGCCCTCATTTCAACTCCTTTTTGCTCTCAGTTTTGTTAAAAAATGTTTGCAAACAAGTTCTCAAATTTAACTATGGCGACCAGTTAACGTAAAACGTACTCCATGGATGATAAAATGGGCATTATCAGAAAAAGTTAAAATTAATGTAATCAAGTTGATATTTGCAGGGAATATAAACTATCCGAATCTGCAGTTTGTAACATAAGGAAAAATAGGCAATTAATTATTTCTGCTCATGAAAAAAATTTAGATGGCAGAAAAAAGTTGAGAAAAGCAGATCACAAGGATGTTGAAGCAGCATTACTGAAGTGGTTCACCCCTCGAAGAAGCTGCAATCTTCCAGTATCTGGACAAATGTCGATGAATTTGCTGAACGATATTATGAGACTACTTTTATGTGCTCGAATGGCAGGTTAGACAGGTTTAAAAAGCGGAATGACAGAAATTCAGGAAAAATTATCTGAGAGTCACGAAGTGTTTCCATATCTGATGTTGAGGATTGCTCATCAGCTAAAAAGTACTATTTTTTTTTGCACGCAAGACGAAAAGTAATGAAAAACAACACATTTTTTGCTGTTACATAATATTCAGTCATTTATTTGAATAATGCATAATAAAAGGGAGGAGTTTGGGAACCATTAGTTAAATAGCCTGTGTAACGGATATAGTAAACTCCCGGTTATAGTGAACCAAAATTTCGGTCTCTTGAAGGTTCACTATAGCGAGGTTTGACTGTACTTACATTCACTGTGTGATATTTATTAACAGTATAAAATAAGCAAACTGCTTTACTTATATATATATTTAGGACACTGAAAAGTAAAGGAACTTAGAAAATGCGCAGACTAATTTATTATAAACAGTTTTTATGAAGAATACAAATCCAAATTGGTAAAACCAACTTCCAGAAGTAAAAAGTATGAAATATAAGAAAATAAGGCGTTGATAAAAATAAATAAAAAAATTTATAAATCTTGTTTAATGTTTTCTAAAAATATATAAAAAATAAGTAAATAAAATAAAAATAATACATACTTCATGAGCTTCTTATAAATTCTGACTATTTTATCCATTGACCTATTGCTTCTTAATTCACTTTCTCGAATCTCCTAAAAGTTTAAGAGTGTAAAAAATAAAAACAACTTAATGCATAAATAAAATAAAATTTTGTTAACAACACAAAACAAGAATAACAAGTTATTTTACATATCATACCTAGATCAATGGTATCTAGAAATCTGTGGCACATTCATAATTAATATAATTAGGCTGTATTAACAGAAACAGTTAATAATAACCAAATTATAACAATAAAAACCAAATAATAACAGTTAATAATAACCGAACCATTTAAATTTTTTAAGTTTAATTCATTATATTGTAATTGGCTGATACCAAATGGTATATTATTTCATATGTGTGGTGGAGATGGATTAGAAAGGTTGACACCAGCATAAATAATTCTGTATTTCTCCAGTAGCAGAATTTATGGTGTAAATCTGCAGCAGTATCTTCAGAAATCCAAATTTGTCTGTGACATCAATGCAATCAAGCAGTAAAAGTTCAACTTAATATACTTGTAGCAAAATTTGCAAATATAAGGTCCTTATATATAAAACTGATGTTTAAATTTAAGTTCAATTTTATACAATGATTCCGCAAAAATGGAACAAGTTAAGCCTATAATCAAGTAACAGGAATATTTTTTATCTTTGAACATTCCCATGTTTTCGCAATTTAGTTTTTTATTTTTATTCAAAACACTTCAAAGATGTTTTAAAGACAAGTCTTAATTCCCCCCTTGTTTAAATGCTTTTTAAAAATAAAAATAATCAGTAGATGCAATAATAATCTCTAGCATTTACTGTTATGTTAGAGGGTTTTCTCTATCGGGTGTACTGCTAGTACTAACATAGCAATTTAAAATATAATCAGTAGGAAAATCAAAATTTTTAAAAAAATAATATTTTTTAAAAATTTTGAGTTTAATTGCTAATGTTGCTCTGTATTACTTACTAATAATTGCTCTGTATTACTTTAATTAAACATAAATATGTAATTTTTACAAGTCTATAAATCATAAAATTTCTGAAAAAAAAGTATAAAATTATTAACACGAGAAGACTAAGGGTAAATATACCATTTTCCCCCCAACTAAAATCAAGTGTGAAAAGGGTGGTGACGAGGTGGGAAAATTCTAAATATGCTTTTATTCCCATTTATTTAATTTTTATGAATAAACTGATGATGGATATTTACAATATTCAGCAGAATCCCTCGAAACATGAAAAATACAAGGCCATAATTTAATCAAAATTTGAGATATAAGGTACACAGTATTTCACATTATTTATTTACCCTTTCGGATAAAATTATATCAATACAATTATACAATAAGCATTTTCAAAAGGTTTAATATCATACATTTACCAGTTTTTAGATTTTTGATAAAGATTCTTATTTTGCATAATTTATGACAATAAATTTATTTCAAGAGTCATCTAAATTGGTTTTCATTAATTTAAACTGGATAAAATTAAATAATAAAAAAAATCTAAAAACAGAACTGTATAGTTTTAAATTACAAAATTGGTTGTCGGTTTAAAACCAATGTGGTTTAAACCATGATTTAAACCAGTTATTTTTTTTATAACTAACCTAGTTTGTTTTTTTAAAAATCACTTTAATAATTTAATTTACTACTGTTATGTTGGTATGTTTAAATTATTTTTGTTAGTTATTTATTAGCACAATTTTTTTTTTTTTTGGCACTGCGTTTTAATTTAAATAATCTCATTCTGCATTTTAATCTATTTTTTACTTTAATCAACTAATCAACAACCCCATCCGATTTTCACCTACACCCTTATCCTTCAACACCTTCCAATATTTTCCCTTCACCCCTACTTGAGAATGGATTGCTTCACAGGTGTGAAGAGTCAAAACGATAGTAGCGCCACCCTTTGGTGCGGATCGTTTTTAGGCATTCCATGTGCTGACAACTCTGGGTGAACGTGATCTGAGGGATGATGCGGGGGTGGCCGGCCACACACGCTTTTAGGATAAGTCCTTTACATTTTTTTAAAATTTTTATGTGCCCGTAATTACTTTTGTTGTTATTTTATTTTGATATGATGTTAACTAAAGAAAAAATGATTATCCTTAAATAATCTGTCTATCTGATATGTAAGTCATGTAGCAGTAAACTAACTCTTTTTAAATTGTAAACTAACTTGACTTATGATTAAGTTCTTTAAATAAAAACATTTAATCTAGATTAGTTATGTCGTTGGATGTGAATCCTAATTTAATTTACTTTTATCTTTCAGCTAATCAAGATTATTATTGCAGTAATAGTAAACGTGCTAGTAATTTTAAAATTAACTTAAGTCATTTCTACATGTTATATCTAGTAAATTATGTTAGTTAAAGTTAAAAATTCTCACAATGCAATATTTTAGAAAATCATTTTTGATTCCTTAAATATAATTTTTCTCTATTCAAAAATAAGATATAACACTACAATTTATATAAAAAATTGTATTTTAAAGATATCTAAATGAAAAAACAGCAAATTTTTCTGTAAAACTCCTTTCAGTTTTGAGTTTAATGACTAATGCGAGCCTGAGTTACTAAACGGAAACATTAATATGGAGTTTTAAAACAGTTTAGTAACTCAGAGCGTAAAATATCATTTGTTTCAATAAAAAAAGAAAAGGATAAAAAAAATTATCCCTCCTCCCAATTTTTGCTAATATTGAATTACTAATCAGATAAAAATTAAAACTGCATCAGAATTAAGCTACAAACATACATTTTGAAAAGTTGGTAATTTCTTAAATATTTAATCTAGAGTCAGATTCTCTTGAAATTACATATTGATATTTTTGAATTAAAAATATATAAACTTACTTCATAACATATACAACAGTCAGATTCAGTTTCCATTTGATTCTTTAAACAAGCAGAGCAAACTATAAAAAAGTATAAAAACTTTAGCTAAAAATATCTGATGTTAAATTTTTATGATGAAAGAAAAAGATATTACAAAATATCATTAATAAGAAAAAGTTCATAACTTGATTCATATGAATGATTTCACATAGTTTCTGATTTACTAGGATGGGAAAGAGTTTCCAGGGGTAGAAATTAAAAAAAAAAAAATTACTGGTCCATAGGACCAGTAACTAAAACATTTTACTAGTCCGCACAAAACTTTACTGGTCCGTCTACGCGTTCCTATTAGCTGCAAATAAAAAAAATAATAAAATTAAAATTTTTGATTGAAAAAATCATGATTTTTTTTAAAAAAATCATAAATTTTTGATTTAAATTGCATTTTTTTTAAAATTATTAATTTTGTATAAAAAATTTTAAAAAAAAATTGTGATTGGAGATCGGCTGCGAATTGACCCTAGACTGCGACGGATGGCGAACGTAATGAACCCACCCCGCTACCTCCCCTATTTCTCTTCTTCAGCGACTCTCCATGTGACGCATGCGCGAAACAAGATTTAACTTCGCCTTCCTTAGGATCACGCGCTAGCTTTTCTTTTTTAAACGGAGATCGGCAGCGGCGGATGGTGGTCAGGCGGAAAATTGTTTATTATTTTATGCTGGTCCGACTCCGATTTTAGTGGTCACGGACCACCGTTAATTTCGAGCCCTGGTTTTTGATATACAGAGACCTTTCATAAAATATTTCATCTTAAAAATGAACTCTTTACAATATTTTTCATTTAAAAAAAATGGAAAATATTTTACAATACTAGTTCTTTAAAAAATCAGAGTCAATTTGCCTGTAATAAATGATTTTAAAACTACAACTTCTTGAAAGAAACATTTGTTTCACAAAATACCAGACCCATTTTTAGAAATTCACCAAAACTAAAATCTAGCAAAAAGAACTTAATTCTTCACCGATTTCAGATACAGAAAATATTAGAACATTTTCACAAATATGCCAAAACTTTACACAAAAAGACAGATCACTAATTTTGTGATTTCCCCATTCCAAAAAGTATGGAATGATCCCAGCTTTACAAAGAAATAAATCAGAATTAAGACATCTGAAAAAGCAGACTTTACTGAAACAAAATGCAAGATTAAATTATGTAGGTCTAGTTAGACATCGTTAAATTAAATGCATTCAAACTTTGTAATAATAAAAACATATTGGGACCCCACTACACTGAGCTGTCTATGAACCCACTATAAATTGTGGTTTACTACACTCAAAATCTTACAAATTATTAACTAATTAAACGTGTAGAGAGTCTCTCTATAACAGTTAATTTCTACCTATAACGAAATTTTTAACAGGAACATTGAATGACATTTAAAATATTCTTTATAAACAAAGTGGTTGTCTGCCAATAATTAATTAATAAATGTTTATCTTTTCAATTTTGTTCATTTTTTAAAACGTTTTTCTCTTTTATTTTTGCAATTTTTGAAGAACTTTGCACTTAAAAGTAGAGCAAAATGACTTATTTTAAATTACTCCTTTATAATATGTATTCATTATTAATTCATTATTATCTACTTTTGATTAAAAGTTTCTATATTATTTACTTAATTACCAGCAAAAAAGAAATCTGGGTCTGCTAATTTCTCATCTTTTAATTACAAGATTATGAAATGGAATAATATTAGTTATTTAATAGTTTGAATAGAGCCACTAAAAAGGTTCACACACAATCGGGTGCTCTTAATAGTGGGATCAATTAAGAAAGTTCAGCAAACAATAATCAACTTACAATTGTGACTACAAGCAGTCATAACACAATAGTTAAAAAATCCAGAGCATATACGACATCGTAGCATATCACCAAAAGGCTGAAACAAGAAATCAAATAAGATCATTAGCTTTCTGGTAAAACTAAAGAATAGAGTTACTTTAAAGTATATCTAAAATAAAATAAAAGCTTTAAAAGAAATAATAAATTCACCCTGAACTCAACTTAAAAAATTTGAATTTCTCACATAAATTTTCATTTAGAGTGATGTAAAATAAACAATATGAAAAACAACTGTAAGGATGCATGTCCAGAGCCTCGCATAAATCAAAATTTAAATTACTGTAACAATTATAAACTTTTATTTCTTGAAAAAAAAATTCTAATTCTTCAGTGAAGATTTCCATATTGTACTACCTTTTACAATTAACAAGTATGATTTTTGTCCCTTTATTTTTATTTCTAGAAATTTATGCCGACCTATGCCAAAATTAAGACAAAACTATACACCCCTATTAGAATTTACTTTTCCTCGTAACCACAGTACCCGCCACGATGCAAGACTGATGTTTGGCGGAGTTCTCCTGAAAGCCACACTATATTTCTTTTTTTCTTCTGATAAAATGAAAATTTTTTTTTTGCAAATAATTTTCAAATAATATGAAACTTTAACTTGTACTTATATGAAATGTAAAATTAGTTGGATCAAAAAATTAAATTATCTTTTAATAAATTTCTTCAATACAGATGAGCAGGAAATTATTTATTTTTTTAGTAGGGAAATTATTTTGATATTTAGAAAAAATATTTGGATATACACATTTATTTAGGAAATTTTATATTAATATTTATTATTGTCAATTTATTGTTCAGGAAAAATATTAAATGACTAAAACTGAATTTACATGTTTAAATTTATAGTTTTGTAGCCTCATTTTTCTGAAGGTGTGGCAATTTGCTAAAATAAAATACATTTAGTTTTTTTTTTGAAAATCAAAAGGAGATATTTATCTCTTTAAATATTAGTAAAATATTTTATAAATTTTTTTAATATAGTAGAAAATTATAAACAAGCTAAACAACAGATGAATAATATAATATAAATTATATATTTCTATATAAAATTTCACAACATTTCTTAAAATAACAAGACAAAAAACAAAACTATAATTTTTTTTTTACTTTAGTTTACACATGATTGAGTTTGAGTTAAATAATATTTTTATTTGTCTCTCAAGACAATTTAACATAAGTAAGGAATAGAAATTAACAATTGCAATTTTCCTTTACAATCTTAAAAAATAAAAATAGTATTTTAAATTCTAAAACATATATGTGCAAAATCTTAATTTTTAAACCATTGTTATGTAAAATCAAATTTTTTATTTTATGTCAAATGAAGTTGTGGTTCTTTAATGATTAAACAATTAAAAGCGAAATTACAATGCATTTTGATATGAATAGGTATTTTTAACAGTCACTAATAAAATTTGGAAAACATTCAAAAACGGAGAAAAAATCTTCTGGTACTCTTAAAAATTTTCCTGTACGATGCGATGTGAACATTTGAAGAACCCACACAAAATTTCACAGGAAACCTGTTAGGAGACAGTTCAAATTTATATTTACCTTTAACATTTTTTCATTTAAATGATTCATCTCCATACTTTCTCTAGTTAGTAAACTAGATCGTTTCAGTTATTAATAAACAAATTTTTGGACTTCAGGATTTATTTTTCAATTTACCTCACCATTGATAACAGTAAGCTTTAAACTACTCATTTCTGCTCGGTTAAAGTATATAAAAGAGACAAAATCACGGTTTTAAAACATGTTTTCTTAACTGCAATTATTTTATATATGTCACCACATGACACAGAAATTGGCACCCGGAAGCATTTTTCTCATTAAAAATGTCAACACTTAAATGCGCAAAATTTAAAATTCAAGTGGTGCGAAGGATTTTAAGCTTAGCTCCTCAATTATTTATAGGAGTTTTTTAAAAATCTCTTTTAAAGCTGAAATTACAGTCATACTGAATTACACTGAAATTACATTCTTGCTAAAATTTTAATTATTTTCGACTCTGTGAGATTTTTAAGTAAAAATTTTGAAGAATGAATGGAGTAAGCATGGCGTCTGACAATATTAATGTGAAAATGTTGAAGGTAAAAACGAAAAACCACAATGAAGTTCTACCTAAATTTATATAATTTTTATTTATTGATTTATTTTATTCTTTCAGCCATTAGATGAAATGTTGCGGTGCTCGATTTGTACAGAATTCTTTAACAACTGTGTTATGACTTCTTGCTGTCATGATTGTAAGCGGATAATTCTTTTTCTCTACAATTTTTTTCATTGCAATTAATTTTGAATTTAAAACAAAATTTGTCGTTTTTGTATTTTATTACAGGCAAATGCAATTATGCTATCAATATCAGGTGAAGTTTTAAGTGTTTATTCTTTTGTGATGAATTTAAAATCGTTTATTACGGGTATGGTGTCATCCTAGGGGATATTTCCGTATCGTGCTCTGTAGGAGAATAATCGCCCAGTCTTGGAAACTTGCGGGCCGTGGCCCGCTAGAAACTAAAAAAAAAACATCACAGAAAGGGACCAACTTAAAAGGTATAACTCGTAGCCACTCCGGGCAAACATCTGCATGTTTTTTTTAAAAGAAATTTGCAAGTTTACAATTGATTTGGCACCTTGGCGATTGTAGTTGGCTCGACAGATCACAATACGGAAATATCTCCTAACTCGTAACCACCTCCGGACAAACATCTAGAAATGAAATCCCCCCCCTTTAAAACTTATTTCGTGCCTTGGCAATTGTAGTTAGCGTGACAGGTCATGATATGGGAGTTTCTCCTCATCCTGCTGTATGAAAAAGACTGGATATTTTCATATCATTACCTGTTCACGCCAACAACAATAGCTACCAGGTCAAAGGAGCATTGAACTCATAATTTTTTTTGACAAAAATGTTTGCTCGTGGATGGCAAAGCTATGAGCAATACTCCTCAGATAGTCACCTTCTGTGATTTTTTAAATTTTTCGCGTGCTACCTCCGGGAGGCAGCAAAAACTTTGCTATTATTTTGGTGCCTTTGAAATTTTGTATCAATAAAAACACTCGATACACATTCGAAGAGTATAACTCGTAGCAAGCCTTTACATATTTTTAGTTTAAAATCTTTATTTATCAAGTCTTCTTAAAAAAAATCTCCCTTTTTTATAGTTTGCTCTGCTTGCATAAAGAAGCGAATGGCTACTGAACTTGATTGTCCTATATGCTATGAGGTATTTATCGTATATTTTTTCTTGTTTTTCCTTTTTACTGATTACTGCATATTAATAACAGGGTGCATAGCGTTTGTAAAAAGTACTTAAAGGTGCTTTTTGGGAGATTTCGTTTATAAAAGCTTTTAAAGGTGCTTTTTTCAGCTGGCGTTTTTAAAAAGTGCTTTTTTTCACGAATAATTTTTTTTCCTTCAGTGATATCTGATGAATCCCCTGCATTTCACGAAAAATGGGGTGTTTGCTACCTAATCATTCACACGGACTTCATGTCGCACCCACGTTATGACTTGCGCACACTCGAAACTGAAACCCGAGTGCTCCAATTCGGATAGAGTCACATCCTTATTAAATGTTTTTCTTTTTAATTTATAATTTTATTCTTGTTTATTTAATTTTATTTCTAACACTTCTTTGATGTAGGGGGTAAGGATACTTTTGTTCTGAGTACATAGTCAAGTTGAATTCATTCGGTGATGTGGGAAAGTACTGATTGTTTTGATTTACGTCCGTTTCTTTTTGTGTTTTTTTCTTTTAATGCTAAAACTGTTCATAAAAAGGTTTTGTTTTTCAATAATATCATTGATTCAATATGAAATTTTTGAGTGCTTGGAAATTTTTGTAAAGTGCTTGAAAAGTTTTTAAAAAGTGCTTATTTTTGATTCAAAGATTTGGCTACGCACCCTGAATAAGTATTCATATATTTAAGTATTCATATATTTAATTATATTTTTATTCTGCTTGTCAGTTGCCTTTACTTACTTAACATTTTATTTTTTATGGTGCATAATTCTATTTTATCAATGACTTAAAAAGGATGTTATTTTAACTGTTAAATTTTAATTAATTATGAATATTTTCTTTGTTTTGACTACTGAACAATTTATTGGTTATTATTGATCTGCTTTCTCATAATTTGATAATTTATTTTATAAGTGATTGATTTCAAATGGACAACAAAGATTATTTTCAAAAGTTCCTTTAAATTTTTAAATTTGGGAAGATATTGAATCTAGTAAAACGTCATTTCATAGTAATAATCTTTTATATGATTAATTGTTCCCATCTGATTTGTCGTTCAAGGAGTTTGCCTTCTTGCTTACGTAGGTCCAAAGCTTCCATTTTGTTTTTGTGTGTTTTCTGCAAGATTCTCCTTTATGTGAAATATGGCTTTGAATTTTATAACCCCCCCCCCCCGAAAAGAATAAAACCATGTATTCGGATTTTCTTGTAAATCCACATAGTTTTTTCTATTATTTTTGACATATGATTTTTTTAATTATGATATTTTTAAAACAATGCTATTATGACTCAAAAATTTTGAATTTAACACTTTTTGTGTGCTTGATTTGGAGTAGTTCCATCACATGATTTTCTAATTTATCTGAGAAATTAATTTTGCTATTTCTTTTATTTAATAAATTGACTTTGTAAACAGTATAAATATTGTTATATGGATAATTGAATTGCTTTAAAATGACTTTACAAAATATACTCATATACAATTATTAAATGGCTATTTTTCTATATATTACTGTTGAAATGAAATGTAGTTATTTATTTCATTTATTTTAAAAAAATTTTATTTAATTCTTTTTCTTCAGGATCTTCGAGAAAGTGATTTAAGGAGTAATGACTCAATGGATAAGATTGTTCGTATTTATAAGAAGTTAACTAGGTATTGAATCTTCTTTATTTTAATGTTTTATAAGAACCCTGTTTTTTAGCAAATAATATGTTTACATGACTAAAAAGGGTTTAATTTTTTAAGATTTAGGAATTTAAAATAACATTATCGTTTGCTTTCAAAAACGATAAGAAATTAAGTTTTATAGATATTAGAACAAAATTTTAAAATGAGCTTAAGTAACTAAACTGTTATAAACTTATTTTTAGCACAACTAAGTATAGGAACTTGTAAAACAATAATGTTACTCTGGAATAAGTTAAAATAACATAAAAATAAATATTCATGCTTGTCTTAGTTTTATGGTTTAATTCCTAAAATAAGATGTTTAAGAGCAAACAATGTTTTGCATCTTGTTATAGCCAAAGACATCTTGTTATAGGTAAAGACATAGCCTTGATGGGTAAAGAGTTTGATTTACATATACATAATGTAAGTACATACATTGTAAATACATATATTTTTTGTACAGGCACACATTTATACTAGCATACATTGTATATACATATGTATAATGCAAGATGATACAAACATTTTTGTACATATATACATACACTCATACGTTACATACATGTTTTGATGAGGTACATGGATATGTGGGTACTTATATATGAACATGCAATACATGTACAAACCATATATGTCTGTACATGAATTTTATATGCACAAATATGTACATATATCTTATGAATAAAAAAGTTCTTATACGCACGTACAATGCTGGTACATACCTACGTTTATACTATGAATGTACTTACCTGTAAAAATGCACGTAAATGTACCTATATATATTGTCTTTACATATGTAGATGCAAAGCTAAATACATGTATATTATATGAAAAATTGTGTATGTATAATGTATGTGCAAGTAACGTTTGCACATACAAGCAGGGTTGCAAAAAACCCACCTGCCCAATAAAACCTGCCCGGGTTTTACTGGGTATAACCCACTCTGAAAAACCCACCCTAAAGTGGGTTTTTCTAAGATTGATTTCTTTTTTCATCCCCTGTTATATGAAAGAGCTATTCTATTGAAATATATATGTAATCTAGCCTAAAAAAAAATTAACCTACAGTGAAGAAACTAATTGTGTTGGAGACTGGAGAGTCACCTTGCTGGCTAGATTTGACTGTATGGCCATTGATTCGCTTTCTATGCAAATAAAAAAATTTCCCCTAACATTTTTTAAGATTAAAATATAAATAAAAAGTAATCCTGTGTTAAAATAAGTTTCAAATGTGTGACGTATGTGAGTACATATAACATTTTGTATCATGATATATGAAGAAACTTTTTTCAGACTTTCACATCAATTTATTTGTATTAATTATCTATATGAAGTCAATTTATAAATTAAACTTAATTATTAATATTAAAATAAGTTTTTTTAAAATAAGGTACTTATCCCTGCCCTCTCTTTTGAAAACCCTCCCATAAAAACATGAAAAACCCAGAAAAGCCCAATAGAACCCAGAAAACCCCACCCGGGTTGGGTTTTTCTACAAAAACCCGGGTTTTTTACAACCCTGCATACAAGGTGTATTGTATTTAAATCTGTATATTCATTCATGTATCTTATATGCATGAGTACTACATACGAACATGCTACATACATACAAACTTGTATTGCTCGTACATTAATGAATTGTATTTCATACGTACATTCATTCTACATACAGAAAAATATGTTAACACATATAACCATACATAATACATACAAACTGAATAAGCATATAGTATGCAATCATAATTACTTGTGATCATATATTTTGATTACTCAATCATTATCACTCATAATCGTTTCTTATCGTGATTATAAGCAATCATAATATAATCTTTTTTGTGCATTTTTGTAATGTAATTCTATGTTTAAAAGATTTCATTTATAAACCAAACAATAGTAAACTAAACAATTCATTTACATTCACAATTTGTGCATTGTTTTAAAAATATTCAATTACCTACAATTCCTATTACGATGTAATCAAGCCCACTTGAAATTACATCTACTCGTGTTGTAATCATATATATCCCAATTACTTGAATTTAGGATTATCTGTAATTATTAGATTAGGATGTGATTTGTTGTAATCTTTCTTTATGAGTATAAGTAGTCAGGATGGCCTGAAATCCCAGGGCTTGATTATTTACAATTCTGATTATCTGTAATCCCTTTTTGTAAATAGTCATAACCTGCTTGTAATAAGAAATAATTATTTGTTGCCGTGATTACTTGTAATCATGATCATTGCAAGTAGTTGATTTATCCATAATTAATTGCATTTGTAATCAATTACTGTAATTGACGAGGAACTTGCAAATGAAAATGAAATAATGCTTGAATTTTTCGCTGGTTATTCAAAATTTTATTCAGAAAAATTAGTTATGACTAATGAATTTATTCATCAATCATTATTAAAAAATTTGCACAATGAATAATGACTAAATTTGTATATAAATAATCATTCAGAATAAATTTATTCTGAAAAAATTTAGTCATTAATAAAATTTTCGTGAATGATGCCCATCACTGCTCTAAAGTAATGTCATCTATTAAGTCCAACAAATTGTTTCTTTCACATTTTTTTTTGCTTGATTGTATTTCAAATACTAGAATTCTTAGTATATTATGTTTTAGTACCCACTCCTTTTCACTGCCTTCTATTAATAATGGATGAAACTCAAACTTTTGTAAAATTTTTGTATTTTCTGTTATGTAAATCATTAGAAACTATTCATATTAAAACTTATTTAATATCTTTGCTTTTAGATCAAACGCAAAAGCCTCTAGCCCCCCAGCCTCTACTCCACCTGCCCCAAAGAGGCTTAACGTCAGGCTGGCAACGTCATCTTTCTCTGCTGAGAGAGCTAATGAAAGTCCTCTCACAGTGAAAGAAACGAGTGCTAGTTTGCCATCAACAAGAGCTCAGTGCAGAAGTTGTGCTAAAAATGAAGGTACATATTTTAAATTTTGCTGACATCTTTGACTTAAGTTTAATTTTTTTTTTTTTTTTTTTTTTTTTNTTTTTTTTTTTTTTTTTTTTTTTTTTATAGAACACCATATACCAAAAAAAAATATAATATTCCTGTCTTATGATTTATTCAGGGTGCGTAGCACTTTTGAAAAGTGCTTATTTTCGAATTTTAAAACCCCTTAAAGGTGCTTTTTTTCATTGGGTGTTTTTGAAGAGTGCTTAATTTTTCCTGTTCTAAAACTAGATTTTTCCATTACCATGTTGATTTTCGCTGCGAATTATGCAAAGAGACGTAGTTCACATTGTTTTAAAGTGCTTAAAATATTTTTTATTGAATAATTTGGCTACGCAACCTTTTATTGATAACAAATAAATGTTCTAGGTCATTTATACTTTAAAATGATATCTTTGTATGATCTAAAATTTCTAAAGCAGGTAAATGAGTAGCTGAAAAGTTTAGCAGAATCTTTTTTTAATTTTAACAGGTTTTCATAGCACAATACTCACAGGGCTGCGGGAGCTTAAAGAGGAGGTGGCGATGTTGCGCCAAGATGTCAACTGTTTTGTCCAAAGGCTTGATGTTAAACCTCCAGACACTGAAAAGACAGAGGACATCCAGCTTATGGCGGCTGGAGAAATGAAATTGCTAGAGGTTGAGCTCCAGTCTGATGAGAAGTTCTCCAAAATGGTGAGACTTATGTTTTCTCAAAGAGTTGTGTTTTGAATTAATATTCTTTGTTTAGAGTTCTGGTGAGATTCAGCTCTTCTAATTTTTAAAATTGAATAAGGGTAAATTTATTCCACATAAATAAAGGTTTATTAAAAGCGGAGTAAAGATTGAATTTGTTTGAAATACTAGTCTTATTTGGAATATTGTGTGTGATTCCTGGGATATCAACAACTTGTTTACAGCAAACATGCCAAATTATATTTTAAAGCTTAGCTAAACCCTGTTGTTCTTTATCCAAAAACTTATTAATAATAAATTAAACTAACTAGTAATTTGTCTTTGCTTTTTGTTTGTGAAGGATCTGCGTAAGGTATTAAAATAGAAAGAAACAAGCATTTATTGTAGGTTTTCTTTTACGCTGAAATAATGGTGATAAAAAAATTTGTAAATTATTTGTCTTGGCAAAGTAGAGGAAATGTGCCGTTTAACTACTCTAATCAGATACCTCTTGTCATTCATAAAAGTTTAGTCATATTTAAAAAACTAAAAACCCTTTTTTTTAAAAAAAATAATTCAAAATCATCTACTGTATATAATATCTTGGATTGTATATAATATCTCTGATATGTTTTAACAATTGTGAAATTTAAATTTGTTGCATCATTGTAGTAAAAAAAAAAGGTACATAATTCCTATCAATATTTAGGTTTTTTAGATGTGAACCTATGATATTGATGGTTTTGCACATCAAATGTTATATACTATGTCCGTAAAAGCATACCCTTTTGGTCAATGGCCAGTCAAAAGTGCACCATCACTTTACAAGCACACTACATTTCTTTAACATGTTGTATATTCTTTAATTGCTAAACTGTTTTTGTGTGAAACTCTTACAATCAAGACTCTACTGCATATGAAGTTGCCTGTGATTACTTAAATTATGTACAGTATATTCTCGCTTTCTCGAAAACCTTGTTATGCCAAAAGATATTTCCCCCCTCAGCAATATATATTCACTTAATGTTAATTTGAGTTCCTATGTTGAAGAGTTTCTTCATGGGAATTCAAAACCACGTTATGTTAAATTTTTTTCAAAGTGGAGAAAATCACAATCTAAATTTATTGTGAATCGATTCTTTTCTATTTAATGCATAGTTATTGTCTTACTTTAAAAGATAAAATTATAATTGTTGTATTTAGACTTAGTCAACCCAGGATATCTATATTATATAAAACGCTAATACGTACGCATGTATGTATCAATAAAACCGATGATATTTCTTTTCTCGTGCTGGCAACAGTTTTTATTTTTAATTGATTGGATTCGGCGCGCAAGAGTACGTAGTGAGCATTATATGGCTAATCGATGTTATATAAAACGCTAATACGTTTTAATTGATAGGCTTCGGCGCGCAAGAGCACGTAGTGAGCAAAATTAAGGTTTAGAATTGCTTCGGAGAAATTTGAATTGTTAACAATGACTTAAACAAAAAGTTTTATTTTAACTGATAAATACTATATTATAATTTTAACTTTTTCTATGACTATACTCATTTTCTTACTCTTTGTTTTTTATACATTTTATATTTTTGTGATAAAATAAAGAACTTATAGTTGTTCTGCTTCTGAACACTGATGAAAACGCAAAATGATGGGCTTCATCAACAATCAAAAATATATACGTTTATTTTACAAATTCCATATTAGGGTGGCGCCATTCAGAGAATTAAAAATACAAAATTATCTTTAGCGAAGCCGATGCTTTACATCCGGCGTTCAGTGGCAGACTACTATTTCATATTGTTTTACAACACATGGCTTTAGCCCTTTTGTGGGAAAGACTTTAAAACAAAACTTACAACAGTTACTTTTCTCAACAACTGAAATTTAGAATAGTGTGATTAAGAAAAATATGTGAACTGTTTGCAATTTCAAATTAATATTGAAATGTACAGGTTTAGAATTTTCTACAGTGAAAAGTTTTCGGAACTTCAGTGTTCAAAAAAGTATACAAAAGCTAGACGTTAAGAACGTATCCAATGAGCGAGTAAAGCGAGCATCGGATTGTGAAGCAATCCGAAATGAACTGCGAAAGCAGTTCCGGGGGTTGGCCAGCACCAGCGAGCAGGGGGCGAAGCCTCCTAGTTTATTAGTAGTTATTCTTATGTTTCATGACTGTACTTTTAAGAGTGATATTTTAGAATCGATTTTCCCACGTTTTAGAACTTATTCAGGTTTAGTTCTGAACTTATTATTTCGAAAACTAGATTTTTTTAAGAATCCCGTCCAATTTGAGATATACAGAGTATCATGTATTTTATTTTCCTTTTCTTAACTTGCTACGCAGTATAATATGCTTGTGTATTTTATGTGCTTTTAAATTTCATAGTCACATATTGGTATTTTTAGGTTAAAAATTTGGGAAATTTTGGGGGCAGGGACTGCTATGAGGTGACAAGGAGGATTCTGGCTGCCCTTCTGTCCTTTGAGGCTGCCTGTGGCTTCAACTGGAATGGTGGCTACGGCAAATTAGGCATGAAAACTTTTCCAAGGGTCCTCCAAATGATATCAGGTAACATATGTATTCCTTTAATCATTTTTTACTACTTAATGTAACAATCTTATATATTGAAGATATGTATCAGAAAAAATAACTTCTAGGTACAGTCAAGAATTTTCTCTGAATTTAAGAAAGTTCATGAAAAATAGTCTCATTGTTTACTTTAACAGATTGAAAAAATATTCCATATATCATCTTATATTACCAAATTGGACGTATAAATTCTGTTTTTTCATACACAGTAATATAATTAGGAAAACTTCACAGATTTTACAAATTCACTGGCTGATTTCTGTGCATTTTTTCATGCATCAGTTGAAAAGAGGTTTCTCTGTCACTAAAAGAATAAGCAACATGAAAAGTGTAAGAATTATCAGACTATCAAGAAAAGATTAAAACCTCATCATTCATGAAATGATTTCATTTTATTAGGAGCATATGCAAGCAAAGCCTGATAGACGTTCTAACCTGGAAAGAACTTCCCCCTTTTTCAATAATTGATGATAGCAGTATCTCATGCAAGAAACAAAGTTCGTGAATGTAATAAAATCTGCTCCATATCTGATAGAAGCAGGGCACAAAATTTTTTAAATTGCTTAGATAAACTTGGCTAAAAAGATAATTTTAAAGAGATGTTCAATTTTATTGTTCTCAAGTTAATAATTTTCATCGAGGAAATAAAGAAATTAAATATGTTATTTTGTAGACATCTAATTTAATTTAGCAATATTCATTAATGATTTAACTCTTATGGTGACAAATAATCAACTTTAAATGTTGTCTATTGTTTTATTAGGACTATGAGCCGTTTTTAAATGACAAGAAAATATTACTGAGTTAGCAAGTAAAAATTAAAATATAATTTTGCTATCTAAAGTTTAATACTAAATTGCACATAAATAAAAAAATAAAATTAAATATAACTAAATAAAAAATTAAAGCAATAGACAAATTTAATTCTAAAATCCAAAAACATTTAAGTTTACGAGGTAAAATTTTTGTTACTTTTTGACTATTGATTTCTTAAAAATAAACTTTTAGTTTGTTTTTAAAATATTCTATGCAGTTTTACTAAGAATAGATTATACATTTCATTATTAAATACCCATTCTGAAATATTCATTTTAATTAATAGTGGTGCTATTTCAATAAAAGTCACAAGTTTACGAACACTTTTGGGAGCCACCGTAAATATAAAAATTCATTGATATAAAATTACCTGGAATGGTTTGATTTTGCTAAATGAAAATATATTAAACAATACTTAAGCAAGGTTTTTGTGGTCATTCTGTATTTGCCATTTGGTACCCTTTGAGAAAAAACTGCTTAAAGTAAGACATATATTCAGTCATAAAAATATTATACATATTGTAAGACATAAAAACATTGTTCAGACATATTGTAAGACATAGAAACATTATACTAGCTAAGCATATTATTTTCTATACATGTCTTAATTTTTTAATTAAAATACTTTAAAATATTGAAATTTTTCTTGTACCCATCATACACTTCTTGAGAAAAAATCATGCTGACCTGGAAATTTTAAGATTTTTACCTGGAAAATCCAAGAAAGATCTGAGACCTGATTTGAGTGACCACCCTGGTTATTCAGATCAATGATTGTATGTGATTGATTCAAGGCCTATGGAATCTAATTACCTGCCACTAGTTTTAAAAGATTTGAATTCACCTCGAGAAGGTTGTTAGTAAATCTCTATTAGTATATTTAAACATCTCATAATTTAATAACTCATTTGTTGTTTGGAGTATTAAAGTCAAGTAATTCTTTTTTCTTTCATCATAAAATTTTCTTATCAATGTCTTGTTAAAAATAGGGTTGTGATTTTGCTCATATTGAACTAATCAAATGTTTATTTTAGCGGCAGTCCGGCAGAACCCAGCAACGAAAATTGCCACACAGGCTGATGTTGAATTTATTGTGAAGAGGTGGCTTTGGACTGCCTCTGATAGAAATAGAGGAAGGAATAAAAGAAAAAATGCAGAATAGTTATTGTTACTGTTGTAATTTTGTGTAGCTGTGTTGATGAATTAAATTATGTAAAGTATGTATGTGTTAAATTATGTATATGTTGATGAATAAAATTATGTAAAGTATGTTTATGTTATGTACAGTATGTATGTGTTGATTAATAAAATTATGTACATCAATAAGTATTTTGACTATTAGATAAAATGTTGTAAAATTAGATATAGTTGTGTAGATTAAAATTTTTAAATTTCATTTTCGTACACATGTATACTGAGAACAATTTGCAGAGTTTAGATGTGTTCGGTATGACAGTTACTCTATGGCTTATTTATAGGTTATCAATTTCATATTTGCATTTGACAAATTTTTGTCTAGTTTGTCTTATAGGACTCCTGGTTAGATTTGAAAAGATTCCTTTTTGATGTATATTAGAATAATCTTAAGATGACATTTTTAATGAGGAGTATATAAAACTTGTAACTGGTAAAATAATGTTAAGATAGCAAAGTATTAATATTGAGCAATCACATATTTTGACTACTTAAACATTTTGACTATATAGGGCAGCGTGGTTAATTAGATAAAAGTGCTAGATATCTGGCTTATCATAATTACTTTGATGATACATTAAATTTAAAAGGTGACTGACTATATGCAAAACCTGATAAACAGTGTGCAAAAAATAGATAATTAAAAATCACCCTGAAGAACTTTTGATCTAATGCTCAGGTACTAGGTTCTGTAATACAATCTTAATGGTTTGAGAAGATGACCTCAAATGTGCTAGTTAGTGCAGACGTTATTTTAAGTTACTAACTCGGACATAAGAACGTACTAAATAAACAAGTTGTCTTTTTTTCGACAGATTTGGATTACTCAACCTCAAGGTATTTGGGTATATGCAATCTTTAATATTTGGGGCTAATAGTTTTGTCAAAAGATTTGTCCTAAGTTTAGACCCCTTAGCGGTAGTTATAGTTTTCCTTTTTGCATATTTTATTTTTCTGAATTTATCTGTTTTTTTTTTAATAGAGTCTGACCCCCAAAATAAAAGTGGCAGCTGTAATCTGGAAAATATAATCTTATTGGTTAAGTCAAGATAACAGACAAAAATTGCAACTAGTTCTTGTTAATCTAATTTTTTGAGGGCCATATCTCTGAAGCTGTTTTACTCAGTTTAGAAGCTGTTAAAGAAGTCGTAATATTAAATTTGAGTTTTTCATAACTATTGGGCAACTTTTATTCAAAATTTGGATTCTTTTTGCCATTCAAAATTAGGCAGTTCAAAAAGATGCCAAAATTTTGTATACTTTATAATTCGACAGGGTGCATAGCGTTTTTAAAAAGTCCTTATTTTTGATTTATGTTTTTTAAAAGCCCTTAAAGGTGCTTTTTATATTTGGTGTTTGTAAAAAGTGCTTAATTTTTTATGTTTTAAGAAGAGATTTTTTCTTTGCCATATCGATTGTCGTTCTAAATTACAAAAAATTCATGATTTTTATAATTTCCCCTGCAATATTTATCAGAAACTAGTTATTTTATCATGATTATGTAAAGTTTTTGAATTTTATTGATTTTATGTTAATAAATTAAGAACTTTAAAAGGATAAAAAAAATTTTTTGTTACTGCACAGATCCTAGTTATTATTTTTTTTGGAAAGTGATTAAAAATATTTTTTGAGTGCTTATTTTTTGATAAAAAATCTGGCTTCACACCCTGATTCAAAATTTTTTTCAACCGCTATTAAATTAAATAGTCAAATTATGATTTGCATTAAATTATCTTTCAATAAACAGTTTTTATATTTGTATGTCATAAATTATTTAAATAGTTTAGATTCTTGTGGTTATGGGCTGAACGAGTATTCCGTTTCCTATGGTAAAGGCTGAGTTTCTGACCAGATCACTTTCTCTGATCATATCTTATTCTTAGTGGTTCAGTATCCACTCCTATGTCCCAAACTATTTCAATGCTAAAAGAAAGTCCAGAAATATTTGGGGAGTGTGATCATAATCCATTACTATCGGTTTCTTGGATTTAAATTGTGGTAATGTAGTCTTCCTATTATGTTTAATAATAATGAGACTATGGAGGATATTGAACCATCACTAATGGTGGCAGCTTAAGTGTAGCTCTTAAAATAATGTAATCCCACAATATCCAGATATTGGCTGAAGCAGTAATGGTGGCTAAGGATTCACAATTTGTTGATCAATGCCATCAACTGCCTTTACTTCTAAAACTAGCTTCTATTTAAATTGTGGTAGTGTTGTTCTCCCATTGTGTTCAATAATAAGAAGGAGACTATTGACCATCACTAATGGTGGCATCTTAAGTGTAGCTCTTAAAATAATGTAATCCCACAGTTATTGGCTGAAGCAGTAAAAGTGGCTATGGATTCACAATTTGTTGACATTAAGTTAAATAGTGATTATTGAATCATTAGATCAAAAGTTATTAAAGATGTATAGTTTATTTTGTTTTGCTCACTGTATATTTTTTTTATATAGGCTAGAAGCTTTTGACATTTAAGTAATCAAAGTACAATGCCACAATGAGCTTTTATGATATACCACACAGTATTAGACACACCATGGGTTGTTTTTATGGATTTAAATTGAAACCAACATTAATTGCTAATTTTTTATTATTATTGGGCATTATGTATTCTTGGGACAATCACGATGCCAAAATGCTGTTATTAAGGATTTAATTTCTTTATTTTAAATAATTGTTTAATTTCATTTATCTAGTCTTTATTGCTTTTGGCTAATAAAAGTTAGAACCTCCTTATGGGACTATATAGATTGTTATTCTTTTTTATACACATGAAAAGTACTTATTTGACTATCAATTTAGTTCAATTTTTTAATTATAGCTAAGACACTCAGAATAATGAAATTTTTTTATTTGTCAATTCATTTTAGCTTTTTATGTTTATGTTATAAATAAGTAAAAAAAATGTAATAAAATATTTGTTTCAATATGAATTTTTAATGCTAAATTCAAATTATGAATGTATTTATGTATAAATTTGTTCTTAATTTTTTTTTTTTTTAGCATAAACATCATTTTTAAGTAAATATGTGTTTACAGGCCTATTGATAATTGCAGTATTTTTTGTATTACTTGCTTAACGTTATTCGCTTCAAAAATATATAAATTGACACAGACTTGCTGTGAGTAAGGAAAAACAGAAGTGATTTGAAATATAAAATGTTAAGTTGCCTACGAAAAATTGAAAAGTAAAGGCGGGAAACAAAACTAGAAAAACCACAGTAGCCGCGAGAGAAAAAAAAGTTTCTTCCCATTCTTTTTTTATCTTTATTTTTCTATTTTTAGTTGGCAATTTTACTTCAAATAGCTTTTTTCTTCTTCTCTCATTCACATTTGGCAAGTCTTGAAAATGGGTGCCTGTTTTTGAGCCCTTGAAACTTGTCGACTGTTATTTCCGCTTTGCATATTTTTGAAGCAAATGAAGTGTTTAGTCAAGCAATACCTTAACGTTTTAGTATCTAGGGATTATTTATTTAGTATTGTAATTTTTTTTATACAAGAAAACACAATTTACAGAATTATTTTTGTTTATCAATACAAAATGCATTGATAAATAAATTAGTTCTAGTTATCCTTCTTGCTTGATGGAATGACTTGTGGGTAAAATGCAAGTTTAAAATATGATAAAAATAGCATAAATGTTTGAATAGATCTATACTGCGCTAAAAATAAAAAAAGGTGTTATTGAATTGAAGTACTTAGGATAATGTATAAAGAAGGGGAAACCTGGGAAAGATATTAAGAATGTTTAATGCAAAAATGTCGCTTTTGGAAAAAATTGTATTATTAAATTCCCTATTTACGAGAAAATCTTTTATTCAAAAATATACAACATAAATAATTTCAACAATTATAATCTATTGCACAGCACAGAATTTTAAATAAAAAAAAAAAAGATCACATCAGTTAGAAATAAATAATTCATAAATATGAAATAAATTGAAAGTCAGCAACATTGCTTCTACATTCCCCTATCCAACAAAGGAAATTCACACACTCACAAGAAAATAACCATGCTATATCAAGATTTCCTTACGATTACAGGAGATACATTTTTGACAGGAATTTTATACGAGTAAAACTATAATTGTTCAGAAATCATTAATTATACATTACATTTTTTTAGAAATCAAAAATATTTACTTAATTTTAGAAAAAGTGCTTTTTATACGATCATGTACTTTACTCTTTTTGTTACCATTAAAAATATGTATTAGAACTAACCCAGGCTAATTTTAAAAATATTAAGGAAAAAATGTAGAAAAAATTACAGTTAAATTTTAGTTCATCACTTGTCCAATGACTGACCAATTTTACATTCTAATTTATTTAATTTAAAAAATATCTAATTAGGAAAATAAAAATTAATTAGTAACTTCAATTTAAAAAAAATAAAGCCTGGAGTAAGCAATAATACATTATACTCGTAAATGCATAGTGGAAAAAAAATGAACACCTTTACAAATTGCAAGTTTTTAATTCTTTCTTTCTAATATTTCAAAATTATAACAGTGCTATTTGTAATTTCATAGATATAAGTGCAATAAGCTATTTTATAAAAATGAGACGATTTAAATGTGAATATAATGTCTTATTATTAATAAAACTATCTTTGTAAATTATGCTTATGCAAATTTCAAAATTGTTAAACATTAAAAATACATAGATAAATATAATATATTCTTTTGGCTCTTGTGACAGAAAGTGAAAAAAATGAATATTTCAAATTTAGAATACAATATTTTGAAATAAAATCTATAATATACTCCATTTTATTTTTTCTTAGGACTGGATTGATTTTGGTTACCCAGAGAAGCTTTCTTTCTTTTATGATGATGATTCACAGTACTGCAAAAAGCAGAAAAATAAATAAAAAATTAATTGAGCAAAAAAAAATCATCTAATGGTTGGATTATTACAAACTATGCCAAATGATTAATCTTAATGGTAACCTCAAAATGTCAGTTAATTAGTACTTTTTATTAATTGAGTTATGAAATAAGATAAAAACGGTCCTCTTTTGAATAAACATACCTTTTTTGAATGGATTTTTTGATTTTCTAGCTAAAAGAATGGTAAAAAATTTGGGAATCTCAATGTATGTTTCATCATATCTTGGAAACTTTTAAAGCGAATCCATGCTTTTTGGATAATTTTAAAATTTGTTCAGCGTAGGCAAATATAATTCCATGAATTTTTTTATATTTATAAATACTTATTAGTTTTCAATATTTTATGAAATTTTAAGGAGTGATTGTGCCACTAAGAGAAAAACCCATTTTATGTGTAAAAACTCTATATCAATTTATACACTGTACATGTGAAGATTATCACACCTCCATTGTAATTAATTAAAAAAAAAGAATCAGATTTTAAAATCCTGTGGATACGAATTGCGATGCATGATTTTCAGATCAAGTAAATATGAATCGCAATCAATATGTAACTTTTAATCACAATATTGGATTTTAAAAATGTGTAAATACGATTCGCGACATGGGATTTAAAAATCATGTGAATATGAATTATTAATATTGGATTTTAAAAACACATGAATACTAATCACAGTATTGGTATTTAAAACTCATAGATACTACATTTGCGTGAATACGAATCGTGACATTAGCAGATTCTGGGGCAATTTCAAATATTCAAAATCGTAAAAATCCGCCAAACCAAAAGAATAAAATTGGCGGATATATGGTAATTGGAGGAAGAATCACATGTATGTAAGTGTCTCTTTAAGGAAAGTTTCAATTTTTAAATTTTAGATTGCAAAACTCAGTGAAAATTTCACCGAACAATAAGTTTTTGTTTCGCGGAAGTCTTTGCAAACATACGTTCTTGAAATAGTGGAATTTTGCAAAATTTATGGAAAAATCACATGCTCTGCTACTTGTTTTTAGACTCTGGTACACTCAGCCTGTAGAAGTGATTTTGTTAAATTTTTTTACTTTATTACATAGCTCAAAATTATGTAAGAATATGTGTTCATTACAATTCAAAAATTTGCTAATGTTATTAAATAAAATAATAAGTAATAGTAAAAACATTTAAAATAATTTTATAATATATATATATTTTTTTAAAAATTGAATAAAGAATGAAATATATGATTTTACATAGTTCTTTTAAGTTTCAAGCACGACTCTAGATTTTTATTTGACTTTTAACTTTACTTTTTATTGTATTAATGAAAGAGAATGCTTGCTCGCACGAATATGTCGACCCGAAGATCGTCAGTACTCCAACTTCTTCACCTCACTGTAGCATTTTAGAAGATTATTCCATTAGGGCCTTAGTTCACAGAATTTCTTTTAGAACTGTCAATTTGTGCAGCGCAATGTGCATGTTGTTCTGAACTTCCAACATGCTCTTGAGTTCTGTGAACTCCACAAGGCTTTGATTTTCACATCAAGATTGAGATGGGCTGACTCAGTGGAGTCTGATTTTCTCGCAATTAATGGAAAAAATTGGAGATCAAAGATAAATCGGAAGTCGTCATGGAGAAATCTTCAGAGGAAGGCATTGGGCTGTCAGGCCAACTATGATGATGATGAAAAGCATTAAAAATTTACTTTTGTGTTTCTAATAATCTTGGCTTTGCCGGTCACCAGTGACCATCGTGGTACTACGAACAAACTCAGGGCAGGTCACCGGTGGCTCCCCATGGCATCCAACGTGTTAACGATTATGAAAATAGAAGCGATTGAGAAATTAGGTATTTAAAAAATATTTTCTTATTTTTTAAAGGTTTTGATAATAAATCAGTAATTTTTTCATATGAAAACTGGAGAGCAGCAACTTTACAACAAAAGAGCTGTATGGTTCTCACAAGCTGCAAGTTGCTGACCCCTGTTCTAGTGTTATAGGAAACAAGTTTATAACATTTAAATCAGAAACAACTTTTGACTGGCACAGAAAATATATTTTGGGTAAATGAATTCATATATATAAAAAAATAATAATTATACAAGTAAGATATCGCATTTTAAGTTAAGTGAAGGAGTGCGTGTGAAGAAGTGGATTTTAACATTAATTCATGATGAAAAAGTGAAGGTATGCTTAACTGATTTTCTTAAACTTTTACGAAGTAACGAACTTACCGTTTTGAAATATCAAAATCATCCAATGATGACGCATCTATAATGTCAATTTCTTTACTATTGCCAGTACCTAAAAGAATGGGATAATTAAAATTACAAATAAAATTTAAAATATCTAGTAAAAAATGCTTCATCAAATGTGTGTTAGGATCAGTACATGAGTTAGCTTATGTTATTTCCATAAATTAAGGCTAGTCAGCAACATGTTACTAAGCTTTGTAACTATTTATTAACATAGGTTATAATTTAAAATAATTATTAATAAGCTTTGAATGTAATGGTTCAAATGTATTTATTAGAAAACAAATTTAATTAGTCTGCGGCAGAATGCAATAATTAAAAGTAAAGCCACATTTTTTTGCCTTTTTTGTAGGAAAAAAAGAGGCAAATGGATACATTTCTTAAAAATATTTCTGAAAAGGAAAATAAAAGTTTATTAATCACCATTTAGATATCTACATATATCTAGTATTAATATATAAATATTTATTTTGAATGATACATGAGCTAGTTTGGACACTTTTTAATCATCCTTTACTAATTTTTTTTAATATACTTTTAATCCTTTTCTTGTCTCTATTTTTCCCATATAATCGTTTAATCTATTGTTTCAGATTAAAAAAAAAGTCTTGTAACAAGGTTAGTTTTAATTAATGTTAAAAGCCCAATAAACATTAATTTAAACATAAGTATCAGCTGAAATACATTATTACAATGCAAAAAAGAAAAAAAAAAAAACTTTCAAAGACAAGATACTACACTAGAATTATATTTTTTATACTTATCTAGTAAAAAAAAAATTATATTTTGATTTTATAAATCAGTTTAAAAAATCTATATTATAAATTAGCTGAGATGCAGAGGCATTAATGTAATTTCGATGAGTAAATTTTTGAACTGTTATTAAAAAAATAGAATTGCAGAGGGTAATCAACAATTGAAATAAAAGAAACAACTTAGAACGTGCTAAAACATTTATTTTCCTAAATTTTAAGCTGTATAAAAATTAATCGAATTTAATAAATAAAAGCCTAAAATGTGGAAAAGAATTGAAAATAAAATAAATATTTAAATTAATTTAGTAAATGAATATCCCAATAAGTTATACCTCCCATTGTTTATCAGTTAACCCATACTCACAATTTTCCATATTGATGCAGCATTAACTTTCATTTCAATTAATTAAAAAGAGCAAAATCAAAAATAAATATTAAAAAATCTAAGAGATAAGATTTTTTGAAATTTTTGCTTTTATTAAAATAATTTATACATAATTTCTTTTTAAAGAATAAACTAAAAAAAGGGACTTAATTTTAATAATATGGTAATTAAGTATAGCTTAATTAAAAGTAATGCAATTAAGTGATTGTAAGTCTATTTATTATTAAAGGAACAACATATACATTGGCTTCACAACTAATGTAAAGAAATAAATAAAATAAAATCAAAAATAAAATAATATACCTGAGGAAGAGTGATCTTCAATTTTTATAGGTCCAATTGTGTCATGGTCACTAATCGTCTTATCAGGAACATATTCTGCAACAAGAACACATTTAATAAAACATGTAAAGCAAAATGACATTTCTGTGATCTAAACCATTTAAGTATTAATAATTTTATAATGAAAATTTAAAAAAATGGTATTTTACTGATTTAAAAGTAACCAATAAAGGAAAAGAAAAAAGAACTCAAAAGGTAACATACATTGCTATAATAAATTTAACTCTTGATCATTTAACTCCTAAAGAAAAAAAAAAGTGGAAAGAATCCGACAAATAAAATTTTTTGGTTCTAATGAATTTGTTAAATCAGGATATGACAATATACTGATGATAACACAGAACAGTGGTTTTAAAATCTGATCTTATAAAAGGACTCATTAAGATTTTCAGAAAATTACAATATTTTCTTTCCCGATTAATTTTTTTTCTTTATAAAAAAAGGTTAGCATTTTTTATGCATGCAATTTAAGTGATGAGAATTTTTCTCAAACCTAGACTAGAGTTCAATGTTTATAAAGTACAGAAATGGGAATTGAGAAGCACTTATATTTTTATGCAAAGAAAGAAAGCTTTTCCTAAAAGTCCTGACTATCTATTACCTAATATTGAAATATTTTTGAAAATTTCACAGAAGAAACTAATAATAATTGTGTCATTCCTTATTGATGATTACACTGTTTTAACATTCACTGTTTTTCATTCCAATTCTTTGTAAATCCACATGGTTTTCCAATAATTTTTTCGGTTGCTTCTCTATAGTTTTTCAAGCTAATTCTGAATTTAAGCTATCACTTTTTAGAAACAATTTGTGACAATTTCATTTTTGGCAGTTATTTATAATTTTTTCGAATACATTCACATGGTTTTTTAATTTCCCATATTTTTAATACATTATTACGACATAGACTTTCGATTTCAAGTTGTAATTTTTTTTTATACATTTGATTCATGATGATTCTATTGTAATTTCACGTCGTATGATGATAGTGCTTTTGGTAAGCTATTTATAATTTTTGACGACCATTTATCCATGGTTTATCAAACTTTGATAAATTTTAATATGATGTAATTACAGCATTTGAATTTGAGACTCTTTAACACGTTCAATTAGTGACATAACATTCATCATAACTTCAAGTTGTTCGATGATAATCTTTCAGAGCTTTTCCACAAGGTTCGTCACAATCTGATATTTTTTAATACGCTATCATGATATGCAAATTTCTAATTCGAGATGCCATGGCACAATCACGTCGTTTTCAGATTTTTTTTCTTCTGTGGAACAAATTTTGTGCCACCATTTTTATGAATTGAAACTTAGTGAAAAGAAGTCAATCCACATGGAAGTCCTGAAGACTTCATTTTTACAAATTTTGAGTTTTGTGTAGGGACTGTATTTACAAATTACAATGTTGTAAAGAGGCCGTTTTTTAAAAAATTTGAATTTTTTAAAGAGGCTGTAAAACAGCCCTAATTTCTGTCTGGATTAACCCCTGATAGCATGATATAAGGAAAAGCCCTGTTAATATTTGTTCAGAATGTTTTTGGTTAATGATATCACACAATTTTCAAGAAGACAAAAAGACACTGTTGAGTATTGTACTGTCATCAGGGATGATTGTGACACAAAGTGAAAAATCCTGAAACTGCTATGCGCGAAAACTCAATACCAATTTATATGCTAGAAATGTTTAATGAAATCTGCGAATCAATTGGTCTTGAGAAACGCGGAATTTCACGAAATTCATGGACAAATCACATGCCCTGCTCCTAGTTTTTAGACCTGGAATGATGATATGAAAACCCTAGATTTCCGGGGTACACCCAGAATGCAATCACCCCTGTGTTATAAGTAATTCCTGAAACTTGAAATATACCTATCTGGAAACAATGCTATGGAAAAGTATGCTACAAAAATATCACTTTAGTCAAAGTAAGACTTACCACCATATTGCCTCAAGCTCTTAAAATAATATAATGTTATTTTACAATGACTTTTGTTGGATCACATTCAGATTCATAATAAAATAAGGAGCTATTTTTTTTTAAATAAAAATAAATTTTAATTCTTTTCTTACCATGATTTATGAAAACTGAGTCCTCAATTTCTTTCTTGACATGCACCTGACCTGTAAAAATCAGAATTTTATGCTTTGCATGGATTATTTGCTGTTGGTGAATGTATTAAAATAATCTTTTACATATAAATCAAAATAAAAACAATTAAAAGACATAAGGGTTTCTACTGTAATAGGCATTTTAGCAAAGAGATAAAATACCACCAAAAAATGTAAAAATGAAAGACTTATGCTTTTCTGCTAAAACATTTTACCGAATTCTATAAAGAAAAAAAAAAGACAACTCTATGTTACAAACAAATAATAAATTTATCAACTAATATTTTAAAATTTTGGGTTTTAACATTCTACAAAAATTCGTAGAATTGTACGACAATTCTTCAGAGTTCTCCCGAGGAATAAAAAAGGGCAGGGCTCTTCCTCTCTGAAAAGGGCACTCACTTAGCACCGTAAAAATTTATCAAAATGTGTAATATAGTACAGAACCCGTTATCCGGAAATCAGAAAACCAAAAAACCGGAACGAAATTCGATATATTTTCCCGCAATTTTCAAAAAAAAAAAAAAATTAAAAAAAAAATTCTTTTCCTCATAAGATTTTAGGATTTTTCTTTCTTTTTTGAAAGATGTTTATCTTACCATCATTTCAGAAATAATCATTAGTGTATTACCTCATCGTTTTTTCTTATTTTTAAGATTATTTCCAAATACATATATTTTTTTAAATTGGGTTTAACACTAAAAAAACAGCTTTTTGTAGTGATTCAGAAAACCGTAAAAATCAGTTATCCGGAATAGCGATAGTCCCGATCGTTCCGGATAATCGGTTCTCTACTGTATTAAGTAATAACTGAATGTTATCCTCAACAATTTTTAAATTACACACTTATACTATTCTAAGAGCATAGAGAAACAATTGTAGTTTATGAAAATAATTGAAGGCATACTAAAAGGCAGTTTTTGTGCATATTTTTTTTCTCCAAAGAAAGTAAAGTAACAAAAAATTATTAATTAAGATAAACAACTTGAAAGCTTTTTTCTATAACTTAAGCTGTAAATTAAGAGAAAATGAACATTTAAAGGTGCATTTTTTTTTAAAAAAAAAAGGTATTTATTTAAAAAATAGTTTTAAAATATAAAATAACTTAAAAATTGTGTTAATATCTCCCCCCCCCCCAAAAAAAAAGATACTTATAAAAATTTAACCAGTTGAGAATAATCCTAACAAAGTAAATATTGTAATAGTTAAGCAGAAAACCAATAAATACAGTGTACCAGTGTGTATTTAGTATTTAAATAGTGAATTAATTTTTTCAAAATGAAATATGAATAAAAAGGCAGTGTTTTTAAGGGATGGCGGCTTATTTTTATAAAAAGGGCAAAGAGAGTGCACTTATTGGGATCAAAGGGGGCTGCCCCCCCCAAAAAAAAACTCTTATGGAAAATACCGTATTTTTTAGCGCTTTAATATTTTGTTGTAGATATAATGTTGCAATTTTTTTCCACAACAGATTAATATAGGTACATTCAGTTAAGATGTTTTCCTTAAAAATTAATCATAAAAAGATTTTTTAAGCATATAAAAGTTTCATTCAGGTATGTATCTAATAGACTGACGTAACCCGGGAGAGCAATCAAAAATTTTGAGCCCTATTATTTGTACTATCAAGTAAACAGCAACAATCATGCAGTAAGATACATTTGTTAGCTGTATTTGTAATTTAATTTAATATTAAAAAATAAGTTCAATCTAATAAATACAGGAAATATAAAAAACAAAAGAGCATAATATCCATCTGTAATATATTATTTTTCCTAACGAAACTGTAAATTAAGGAAGTTAAAATAACAATAAAAAAAACTATTTAGCTATTTCAGTTAACTAAATCAGTATAATGAAGAATAGGGTTTAATAAAATAAGAATTATTATAAAATAATAAATAAAAGTTATTTGCAATAATAATTCAGGGTTTCTCGATTCCAACTTGGGTAAAAGGCTTTCAGAAATGAGAAGTCAAAGCTTTTTGGAAAACAAAAACTTAATAAAATATGGATTTTTTTAAATATATTTAACACATAATAAAACAGAAAATGGAAATTTAAATTACTAATCTTATAATTATTTAGTTCATCAAATCGTATAATTACAAATGACTACTGATGCAAGATTATTTTCATTTCATTCAGCAGTTCTCAATTAGTTTCTCAAATCATGAAGATGCAAATTCTTTTCTGTTTTATGCATTAAGGAACATTTAAGAAACAATGTTAATTTCAATATAGACTTTTATGAGATGAAACCTTTTATACAGTTGACTTTAGATCCCAGCTAAAAACGATTGACTGCCTTTATATTAAAATTACGAAATTTATGGCTATATTTTGGTCACATTTTAAAAGGGTGCACAGCCAGATTTTCCCACAAAAATAAGCACTTTTTAAGCACTCAAAAAATATTTTTAATCACCTTCTAAAAAAAAACAAACAAATTATAATTTGGATCTGTGCAGTAATACAAATTATTTTTTTCTATCGTTTAAAGTTCTTTATTTATAAACATAAAATTAATAAAACTCAAAGACATTTTCAAAAACTTTACATAATCATGATGAAACTAGTTTCTGATAAATATTGCAGAGAAATTTGAGAAAATCTAGCATTTTTTGTAACTTAGAACGACAATTGACACAACAAAGAAAAAAAACCTCTTTTCAATAAGCCCTTTTTACAAACCACGAATAAAAAAGGCCCCCTTAAGGGCTTTTAAAAAATGGAAATCAACCTTCTTTAAGCACTATTTAAAAACGCAACGCACCCTGTTTAAGAGAAAAATATTTTACAAAGAATATTCCAATCTGTAACAAAATTTTTATCACATACATGATATACTAACAAAATATGAAATATTTTTTTATCACATACATGATATACTAATAAAACATGAATAAAAATTAAACTGAAACTTACCAATATGTCTCTGATGAACATCATTGATGAGTGAATTGAACTGAGATTGATGCTTTTTAACTGAAAATAAATATTAGAAGTGCCATAAAAAATTAAAAACATTTAATTTTCTTTAAAATTGGATTAAATAATTTAATAAATTAAGGTGAAATGCAAAAAGAAAAGTATTTAAATTTCATTTTCTTTCTCTAGCAGGCAGTCAAATACATGTGTGGCCCGGTAACAAAAAACTCATAACCACTACAATACAGAGTATGAGTTATCCAGTTAATTACAAAACAGAGTATAGTTAATTATAATTATCAAAATCCGTGTGTTAAATTTGCAATTAAAGTTGTTTTTCCTCAAAGTTGAATAATGTGTATGATGCTTACTGCTTATAGAGTTTTGTAATTGCTAGGCAACAAAATATCTAAACAAAAATTTCAGTTTTATAGTATCAAATGAAACTATTTCCGAAAAAAATGCAATTATTCACAAAAAGTGGCCTTAAATAACAAGTTGACAAATAATAGAATTTTACATGTATCGAAAGATATAGTCAAATAGTGTAAATATTCACCATGAGTTTATTTATGAAAATTCAATTCAAATAAAGAAGATTAAAAACATATTTTCCCTCTCCATTTCCACCCCTTTGTCCAACAGTTGAGTTTGGTCAAGACAGGAGCAGCCTCTTATGCAAAATAACTAATTTAAAACACTCCTAAACAATATGTACTACTTCGTTTTCAATTAAAAGTCATAATTATTTACTTTTAAGATTTTTTAAGTATTTATTTAAATATCTGTAAAAAGAAAATTTAAATGCACTATAAATGAATTACCAATTTTTTAGTTGTTCACTATAAGCATATGAAATAGCATCTTGTTAAATATTAGTTCCAATGAAACCACTAAAATTGTTTACTACAACTGAGTGTTTGTTATAGTGGGATTGTACAAGTAAGATTTTAGTGTTATATCTTATTTTTGAATAGAGAAA